AAGACGAATTGAAAGAATTCCGGCGTGGCGTAGAAAAGTATGAAAAAGGCCTCGAGGAGGCTAAGAAAGATCATGCTCGAGTTGGTAGAGACGTGGCAAAAGTTGAAAAGAACATCAAAGCCAAGGAAAAAGATATCGAGGACACGACGAATTCGCTCGTCCCTGTTGAAGAGAAAATCGAAATATCAACCCAAAAAGTCCAGAGATATGCTGCTCGAATTTTCGAAATCGAAAAGGAAAGTAATGCCCAATCGAAAACCGTGAAACAGCTTGAAAGGGACCTGAAAGTTGTTGAAAAAGCTCAATCCCACTGGGAAGAGGAGTGGAAGAAAACTGCCAGCAAAAGAGGGATCCAACTCAGCGATTCTGATCTTCAAGAGTTCAACAAGCTTAAGGAAGATGTGAATAAGCGTTCATCAGCTGCGCAAAGCAAACTCGACAACTTCAAGCGTCAAAGGAAGGCCGATGCTGAAACAGTTAACAGCTTAAAGAGCAATTTCGAAAGTACGGAGTGGCAAGTCAAGAATCTTCAGTCCGACGTCAACAACATGTTGGATCGCAAGGCAAGCATTACGGAAATCATTGAAGCCACCTCCAGAGAAATCGATCAGAAGAAGAAGGAGCTGAATAATCTCACTTCAGAGCGTCTTCGCATAGCGCAAATGCGGACGGAACTTGAAGAGAAGCTTCAGGTCACTTTGAAGAAGCTCCTTGAGGTAGACGATGGCCGAAAGCAAAGCGAGAAGGAACTGCGTACCAAGGAACTAATATCAACCTTGAAGCGCATATTTCCCGGAGTCAAAGGCCGGATCAGCGAGCTTTGCAAGCCCAAGCAAAAGAAATATCAAGAAGCTGTCAGCACCGTCCTTGGCCGGCATTTCGATGCCATCGTAGTAGACAACGAGAAAACAGCCAAGGAATGTATCCAGCATCTACGAGATCAAAGGGCAGGCCAAGCAACGTTCATCCCACTCGAGACCATTCAAGTAAAAGCCTTCAATTCTAGCCTAAAAGGTATGCACCGTGGTATGCGACCAGCCATTGAAACTGTTGACTTCGACAACTCTGTTTCCCGCGCTATCACATACGCCTGCGGAAACGCAATCGTTTGTGACGACCTAGCCACTGCCAAGTACCTATGTTATGAGAAGGGAGTCGACGCCAAAGCAGTGACTCTGGATGGGACGATCATCCACAAGGGTGGTCTTATGACTGGTGGACGAGGCCCGGGCAGTCAGCAATCCAAGCGCTGGGAAGATACCGATGTCACCAACTTGCACAAATTGAAAGACAAACTTATCGCAGACCTGGCTAACCTCCCTAAAGCTCATCGCAAGGGCGCGGAAGAAGAGAGCCTGCAAGGTCAGCTTGCTGGATTGGAGCAGCGTCTTGCTTATTCTCGAGATGAGTTGAAATCCCTGGACAGAAACATCGAGAGTAGGTCCAACGAAGTGGAATTTGCCAGCCGTCAACTGAAGAGCATCCAACCCAAGTACAGTGAGAAGAAAAATGCTCTCGAAGAACTGGATAAATCTATTGAACAAGCCCAAAGCTCTGTCAGTGGAGTTGAAGATGAGGTCTACAGTGCCTTCTGTCGCCGTCTGGGATATTGCAACATCAGAGAATATGAAGCTCAGCAAGGCTCGCTGCAGCAGGAAGCTGCAGAGAAGAAGCTTGAATTCACAACCCAGAAGAGCAAGATAGAGAACCAGCTCAGTTTCGAGAAGCAGCGACTGCAGGCATCCGAAGACCGGGTTGAAAGTCTGCGTTCCCAGGAAGAGCGAGATCGAGCTCTTATTGCTGATCTCGAGGCCCAGCGTAAAACCATCAAGGATCATCTCGATACTCTCGACGCTGAACTAGACCAACTTGGGGAGGTTCTTGCGGAACAAAAGGAGGCTTTCTCACAATCTGCAGAGAACCTGGCTGCGCAACGTCGAGAGGTTCAGAAACACTCTAAGAATGTTGAGGCTACGCTCAAGGCTGTCAGCTCACTGGATGGCGAGCGACAGCGCCATGCCTCAAGCAGATATGCGCTCTTACGCCGCTGCAAGCTGGAGGATATTGATATACCCCTCGAAAAGGGCTCGGCTCCACTCTCTACACTCCCCATTGATGATCTGGTCCAAAACGATGAAGATGCGATGGACGTGGACGAGGATCAGACTTTGGGAAATATCCAGGCTGCTGCTATCCACGATTACGGTATCGACGTTTACTTCGAAAGTCTTGGGGACTCTCTGAAAGAGGTATGTATTAATCTCCTCCTTATTAGCACTTGTTGCTTGAATAACTAAATTTTCTACAGGATTCGGACGAGAAGGTTGAAGAAGAGTTGCTGGATAATATCAAATCTCTCAACAGCGAGCTTGACAAAATGGCACCAAACATGAGGGCTATGGAGCGACTCGAAGGCGTCGAGAATAAGCTCAGGAGCACAGAGAAAGATTTCGAAGATGCCCGCAAACGCGCCAGGAAGGCCAAGGAAGACTTTGAGGGGGTGATGCGGAAACGCTCTGAACTTTTCAACAAGGCTTTCACGCATATTTCAGAGCAGATCGAGCCCATATATCGCGATCTGACAAAGACAGCTAGCTATCCCATGGGAGGAAAAGCGTAAGTCCATTGAAATGAAAGATTAAATGCCTACATCGTGAAAACGCACGTAATCTCACTACTTCCCCAATTTCTGCTTGACAGTTATCTCGATATCGAGGACTCAGAAGAACCCTATCTCGACGGTATCAAATACCACGCCATGCCGCCGCTCAAACGGTTCAGAGACATGGAACATCTCTCTGGCGGAGAGAAGACCATGGCAGCTCTAGCTTTGCTTTTCGCAGTACACTCGTACCAGCCCTCTCCCTTCTTCGTGCTGGACGAGGTCGATGCGGCCCTCGACAATACCAACGTAGCAAGGATTGCCAACTACATCCGCGACCATGCTGCACCCGGTATGCAATTTATCGTCATCAGCTTGAAAACGGGTTTGTTCCAAAACAGCGAGGCGTTGGTGGGTATTTACAGGGACCAGGCTGCGAATAGCAGCAAATGTCTGACGCTGGATGTAAGTCATCTATCTCCCCATCAGTCAATATCACTGTCACTAGTTTTCGTCATCGCACTATATACGTGCTTGCATACTAATGATGGTTGGTACGTATATGTAGCTTCGAAAATATTCATAACATCGCCTGTTACATGAACAGATTGTGTTTGTTTTTCTCTTCGTGTTTCATCGTTCATATAGGCAGAGATAGCGATGCCTGTCAGGCCATCGATCCTCTATCCATCTCACAGTCAAAGACACTCATCTATGGAGATTTCATCAGGATTCGCGTAAGGTAGATGTCACGTATGAGCTCTCGTTTGAGATTGAGGATCGACAAGCATCGATCAGGCAGTCCAGCACTCATCGCTCTCTCAACAATAATCATCAGCACTTTTCTATTTTCTTCACCATCTCACGGAAACAACCACATCATGTTTCTATCGTATAGCTAGTTAATGAAAAGGATCTAGTTACGTACCTGTTCATCCTTCCACCTTTTTTCCAGCCCTCTTGATATCCATACCATTCTATTCCATCCATATGTCTTCTCTCCCCCCACCCTTCCATCTCATACCATGTCTAAACCCATCCATGCCACCCAGGCAGGCATATCCTAGGTAATAAATATGTATCCATCGACAGCTAACGACGCGGGGTCTGTCTACCTGAAATCCCCTCTGTGCGGGGTGGTGGTTGCGGCACGTGTTAGGTATCGGTGACGGGCAAGTCGGGCACGAAGAAGCGTGGTGGTAATGGCTCCGGGTAAGGTCTACAATGTCAGAGCAGGTCAAGGCAATGACCACATGGGCCTTTCTGTATATTCGCAGGGGAGGCATCGATATAGATGCATAGGATGGTCTGGAGGCTGAGGATATGAGGATGGATCTCATATTTCTACCGCTGTTTTCTGATGCGGCTGGCTCCCTTTCCAGTATGGGTCTTTGGGGATGGGGAAGGGACGATTTGGGTTTTGTATACGTCCGTCTCTTGCTTCTTTTATCAATTTAGGTTTTGTTTGTTTATTTATTTGTTCACGTGTTGACTTTTTCCTACTCTCTATATATGGAGAAGATGGTGGAAGATGTTGCTTTTCGGTGTGCGGGGATGATGATAATAATATCTGTATGCGTGCGTGCAGCTACAAGTCCTGGCCACATATACATAGTTCTCTGCACGAGCTCTCTACGCTGATTCTATATAGTCTGGCACCGGTTTTCCCTATTCAGCAGTATTCTGCACTACGCGGAACACAATTGGGGGTAGTAATAGGGTGGTGGATAGGAAAGAATAGTCGTACGTAGTTATGAAGTGGGAGTCTGGCTCGTTTTCAAGCTGCATCCATCTGCTGGAAGGATCTCCGGCACGGACTCTATTCCTACGTCTTGTAAGAATATGGGTAGAATGGCGAGAAGGAGAGAGACATAACTTCGTCTTTCCAATTTGGTTCTCGCTACTTGTTTTCAAGTGAAATTTATATACATGACTTTGCTCGCGTGTTGGTGGTGCTGAAGAGAAAGGAGCGATAACAAAATGGGAGCAACGGTAACAATATATCAGCAGAATCTTTGCCAGGGGCCAGTGCATGATTCACAAAGTGATAACTGGAAGTAACATATTCGAAGATATCCCCTCCCCCCCCCCCCCCCCCCCCCAAAAAAAAAAAAAAAATAGTGAATATAATAGAATGAAATGATGATATGAAATGAAATACAAGAAATAACATGTTTGCGTATTAACAAGATCGTAACCGCCAGCACCGCGTACGATCTCATGGAAAGAAAATGGGAAAAGAGTCAGGTGCTTGAAACTCAAAAGTGGAACATAGACGAGTTGGAATGTAGAAGACATCTGAAAAGGAATAAATGCACCAGGAAATAATACATTAAATAGAATAAAATCCAAAATCAATGAGATTCCTTCAAAAACACGGCGTAGACAAAACCGTTCTTTAAGTATAAGGATCTGGTGAACTTCCGTTCTTCAACATTTCGTGGATGGGATCCCAACGGGAAATATTCTCTCTGTTGGGCAGGTGTTTAAGAATCTAGACGAGAGTTAGGATGTCGTGAAATTATATGTCATGTCAGAGAGGGATATAATTAAGAGTTAGCAAATACCTCCTGTAATTCCCGAATATAATTCGCAAACTTCACGCGGAGAACGCCCAAGGGGCCGTGAACTGGGGCAAGTAGACGGGGTTGCCCAGTGACATTATTGATATGCAGCTTACGGCAAAGCCGATCAATCTGGTCCATGTTGAGCATGTCGAATTCTGGAACCGGATCTCCGAAGTGGTAGATCCAAGGAGCTTTGCGGTAACAACCTTCGCCGCAATACTCTCCAGCCCGAGCAAGGACGATATCAGAATTAGATCCGAACTCTACGGCTTCTTCCCACTCTTGGTCGTGGTGAGGCGGCTCGGGTTCGTCATAGGGTGGCCCGGAGAAAGGGTCCTGTGCGATTCTGAATGTTAAAATTGCTCTGGAATCACTTCTTTCTTCCTAATTTTTGAATGGGGGAATTGTCACTTACGTATACTGAACTAACAGCGGACTTTGCTCTGTCGGCCTCTTCTTTGACCGTGTCTTCTTCCTCTTTTTCTTCGACCTCCATATCTTCGGAGCCCGCTTCTTTGGAATCCGCTCTATATTCACGATGTAAATGGTTTTGCAAGGCCAAGCGGTCCCCAACTGGCGGGTCATGATATGCGACTGAATCGTCTGGTGCCTTAGAATCACCGTCAAGTGAAGTTCCGACAGCCACAGCAGTGAAATTAGGATCTCTCGGTTTGTCAGGGAGAGAGCCCTTTAGAAGAACGGCACTACCGAGATACTTCATCTCGTCGTCATTTGACGGATTGTTTGCTTGGTTTGCTCCCGGCATGGCAACTATTTCAACATACATGAGAATGAATAAGTAGAAAAGTGAAATGTATGGAAGACATACCTTTTGATATTTTTGGAGGCTGGTTTGTATTTTTATTTTATTTTTTTTATTTTTGAATTAATATGGCTTTCGAAAAGCGGTGTTTAATCTGTATTGAAGCTTGTCGGATGGTCGATGCAAGTAGGTAAAACCGATGCAACAACAGATATTATAACGTAGCTTGAGAGAGAGAAAAAGAGGGAGAGGGGAAGGAGAAAAAGAGCGGAGGAGAGAGGATGGCAACTTAAATATCCTCCTCTCTTGAGCTTCTTTTTGACTATCGACATATTATTTTGAGGTCATCTTCCTGAGAGGGGCGGATGTTTATTTTGAAGTCATCGGCCCGAACGTGAGTAGAGTTAAAACCTGTCGATGCGCTTCGGGGAAGCGATAAAGTTCCTTGTGGGCAACGCCGCAACCCAACCCCCAAAAAGTATTGAATGAAGTTGCTGGCTTATAAATGGAGAGGTAGAAGTAACATAAACCCAAAGGAATATGTCGACTGGTAGGAGCTCGAGCCACTAATGTTGACACGCGAAGACGACCGCCGACAAAAAGTTGCCAAACTCTGACTCGATTTATATAACGGCGACAAGGAAACTGGAACTCCGTCCCCATATCACATAAAGCAAGCCAGAGTTTTCGCCCATTTCCTCCTCCCTCTTAAGAGTCTTCTAACGAACGAACGTTCAACGTGGTAGACGCTTAACTCCATCTTGAGTCGACAGCTTGCTGTAGCGATCGGCAAAGACTCACAAAAGGGGAAATGACGTCAAATTTAAGGTACAGCCGTTGTTGGTAGCAATATAGAGTTCGTACCTGAGAATAGGAAAGTATCTCCAAGAGGTGAGCGGAAGCTGATCAGAAAAATGCCGGGGGGTTGAATTGTTCACCTGGATTCAATCACAGTTGATCGGGGGCATACTAGTGACGCTCACGGATAGGCCATACCGCAATATGGTATTATACCCGATTTCGACGAAATATACCTTCTGGTTGGTGGAAGATTGAAGTAGGTTAAATAGTAAGCTGGTTTGTTCAGCCAACAAAACGATGATACTTTGTAGCATAGCATGCAGGACAGAAAGATAGAGAAAGCCTCTAACACCTGCAGCTGTCTTAAGATAGCTGAGGCCCCCAAAATTTGTATCCACGGTGCCATCGTTAGCTGCTCACTCGTAGTGAACTCTCTCGAGACCTTCAGCTGTGCTTTTTTGCTTAGGATCACGTGACTAGTCCCCTTATCACACCTCAAGAAGCCAAAGAGGAAAAAGGAAAAAGATGATAACGTGGGGAGGACGAACATTAGGGAAAGAGTGGTAGAAGCACAGATTTCATGGGTAAAAGTGTGGAAATCGGACCTCCAACAATATCCATTGAAATAGATTCCAGTAGTATAGAGATTGTGAATTTTACTTTTGGTCAATTGATACTCGCCACCGCCCTTGACTCGAAGAATGCCAAAAGAAAAAACCCTGCGAAGTACAAAAAAGAACAAGGTATCTATAGGGAGCTGGTTAGCCAGTTTCCACAGTTCGCACCTCATTTAAGAACAGAGTAAAATGAGGAAGTATTGTGTCTCCTGATCCAGATACCCAAGGTTTTGCTGTCAATTGCTCAAGGGCTCTGAGAAGCGTCCCATTAATAGAAGGCAGAGTTTCCAAAAGCTTAGTGAGAGTAGAGACCGTATTGCAGCTGCTCCCTGATATGCCACAGAATCCCTCTCGGTTTCTTTAGAGCAGAGACCTAGAAAGTGTACAGTAGCCGAGATAAGCTCTTCAATGGAGAATATAGGACGCCGTGCATCCTTCGTAAATTGTATCTGTAGCCACAGAACTGAACTTGAAAAATGTTAAGCCGACTTCCATATTCGAATGCACCAGGAGCTCTCATTGGTGTCAAGTAGCGGAGAGCCCGGGAAACCAGAAATCTGAAGTTGGGATGACCGCCATGGTTCCTCCTTGCACCATATATACGGAAGGGAAGATGCTTGTATCGCGATATTCTACAGCATGCTCAAGTGAGGGGAATTCAGTGCAAATGTCCCAAAGAGAATTGAACATGAGGAGAAAATCTCAAAAAAAAAAAACAAAAAAAGTGAACAAGAAAGAATACAACAACTATACAAGATATCATCATAAAATTGCATAAAGGGGAAAGCTGAAGGCTTCAGGCTGCGAAAAGGAAAGGGGAAAGCAATGTCATTACCCATAATGAAATCTCCGATACATGAACGATTCATTTTTACGTCAACTAGTTTCCTCAGCTAGACATCGTTCAAAAGCGAGAAACTCATCGGCAAAATACCCTGTAATATCCAGGCGTAATGTGCTGGAAACGCCCTTAACTTCAATGTAAACGAATCCTTCCTGAGTGAACACGCGTCGCATGTTCATAAATGTTTTCCACATGACATAGCTGATTTTCTTCAAAGGACTTTTCCAAAACGATAAACGTGGTCCAGCAGCTCGCTCGTGAAAAACTCGACGTATATGTCTCATATCTTGTACCCGTAGTTGCTGCTTCGAGACAAAGATAGGTTCGGATAAGGATATTTGCGAAGGAGTGGTGACTATCTCACGTGGCTTTAGGAACCCAAAAAATCGCCGCACATTTATTCGAATTTCGGGGGTTCTGCGACTGGCAGGGATTGCGGTAATGCGAGTTATGAGGCCTGTCCCACGGCGGATGAATACAGCACCCATAGCGCCCATGGCCACGCATATGCCTCCCATAGCATAGGTGATAAACCTGTTCAATTCTACCAAGGGGTCGACAGAAGTCGTATAAAAGTTCCAACCTGCATAGAGAAAGCAAAAGGCGGCTGTGGTACTGGTGGTGAAAACATATGATCCAATTGCCGTTGCGGCATAGAGCTTGGTGCCTTCCTTGTTATTTGAAATCTCTTGTTCGAATTTAAAGTAAAGCTCTTCTATTGTCTTCCTTGGGTTTCTTGGTTTTGACAAAATGGAGGAACCACCTTTGAGCGGGCGTAGAGGGGGAGCACTCTGCGATGCATGACGTTTTAATGTCTTCGGCGTAAAGAACTCGCACTTTGATGAAGTAAAGTGAAGCAATGGTGAGAAGATAACAGAGCAGGATGACTTTGGAGAGACAGATCGAGGGCACAAAACTCGTCGAAGGGACATGGCGGAGACACTGGAACCGAATCAGTACATATATATATTCAGTGCGTATTGTGACATCTTCGCCATTTGCAATTGACGGGAATTAAATCGTTGCGGAACATCAATCAAGACAGAAAAGTACCAGAAAGATATACAGAGCCTGTCACTAGTACTTACACCAAGAAAATGAGGAAATTGAAGCTGCGTAGTCTGCTAATATTCCTCCCCGTCATCGAAAGTTGAGGTTGATCTTCAAAGCCCTATTCGCCGGAACATCAATTCTCCGGAAGGGTCACCAAGTCATTGCTCATATGGAGCCGCTAGTCCCTATATGGTAAGGCATCTCAGCGCCTCAGCCTCAACAGTATCCGCAGTTGGTATCAGAGATATCCCCACCGCTGGAGCTTTCATCATTTGTCCATACAGCTTGCAGATGGAGAGCGTATTTGCTGCATAAGCAAGCCTTCCGGTGTTTTAATTGTTGGAAACAACCAATCCTTTCTGATTTGGACCATCAAAACCCTTATCTTTACTCCGCAGAGGCAAAAAACATTCGTCATAGAAGGGACCTTCACAAGTTCGGTGCCATGGCCATGGCTTCTCGGATACCATGTTGGATTTCACGATGCCGTCTCAATTCCTTCAGTACCGCTAGATGTGAGCTTCCTTCTCCCTGCTAGTGCTTCTTTTGCATTGAATGAAGGACAATATTATATCAAAACAGAGCGCGGAACCCCGCCCCCAAAACCAACAACCACCGACACTGACATCCGTGCGCCTCTAGACCTCCAAACCTCCTCTGCAGCCCAATCACAGAATCTCCCATTCCCCCTTTACCCTTCCGTCGCCCAATTGCTCCATGAAAAGGGCATTCCGACATCCGATGCCTCCAAAATCCCCGCCTCCGGGCCTCAAGGCCGGCTCCTGAAGGGCGATGTCCTCGCCTTTATCGGTGCAATACCAGCAGACTACTCCTCAAACCTTTCCGCCCAGATCTCCAAACTCGCCCATCTAGATCTCAGCAATATCAAAATCAAAAAACCTCTCGCTGAATCGCAAACTAAACCTGAACCGCCACTCACATCCTACCAACCCTCTCCGCCCCAAGAAACCGAAATCTCGCTCCCAATCTCGCTCAAACCCGTCCTAAGCATGCAAGAACGCCTCCAAAAGGTTCTAGGCATCACAGTGCCCCTAAGTACCCTCCTCGCCCGCGCCACAGACACAGCCAACGAAGCCCTTCCGGCGTCCCAGCTTACATCCCGCTCTCAATCTGCCGACGCCCTTTTCGATGAGATAATTGGCATAGCGCCGACAAAGGCCACGGCCACGGCCACTAACCCCCCAACGTCTCGCGGAAACTACATCCCGGAGATGTTTGCGCCGGAGGAACATTCTGCACCCGCTCCTACTCGGGAGGTCCAGGTCCAGGAACTGGATATCATAGACATACTATCCGGGAAAGCCAAGTTACCATCACCTCCTTCAGCACCCTCCACCAAGGCAGAAACTCCACTCGATTCCGCGGCTGTCGATCTCGCCACCAATATCTTCAGCATTAAAGTTCCAGTAGCTGATCGATTGCGCGGGGAGACGTTCCTAGCACGCCTGCGTGACGTGCTGCAAGATCAGCCGGAGAGCTTGGTGTTTTGATCTACTTTTTAGTTTTTATTTTATTTTATTTTATTTTTATCTTGCTCTCCACTTAAAACGAAGCAAGGGTAGCTTGATTTAAATACATGCGACAGAAGAGGAATTTCCTCCTTGTGTTGTGTGGTATATAATAAACGTGTTCACAGGTATATTTGTATATTTTTTTGAATTTAGTTTTTCCCTGTTTGGTTTGCATCTTCTCTTTCATAGTTATTTATTTCTCTTCTTAATTTCTCCCTCCCCAGGTTTTCCTCCGTCCGTCCTATGTTTTTGCCCCTACATACTTGAAAACACTGCCTGACACACAAACGTATACTCGCTGTTCTTTACACATTTCTCCCCCTTTCATGGACTTCTCGATCAAATGACACGAGCAATATCACTTCTCCAAGTTCATACATACATACATACATACATACATACATACATACATATATATATATATATATATGTACAGTACATGTACTATATCTACTACTTCTGTGTGATAAATTATCTGTCCACATAGTTGATATATATAGCACGGGAGAGGGTTGAAAGGGTGATACCATTACCTCACATCTATAATCATGACGCAATTTCTCATTGCTCTTATCTCTAAAACAAGCGCCCGTTGCCACTCTAGAATTACCAGCATTGAAGATCTAAAGCAAAGCAGAAATCTATAGATGGATAAATCCCACACCCCATGTCCTGTCTACAAGATATACCCCATCCATATTCCAGCTTCGACAAAAGTCATCCCCCTCATAGATATATCTTTACAAGCCACAACATGGAGAGCAGGGACAAGGAAGAAAAAACAAGAACATAGCCTCCATCATCAACCAGCGTTAAAATTAGAGTAAATAACTAATATTGTAACAGCCGCCACATTCCCAATCCCGTTCCCGTTCCCTTTTTTCCAATACAACCTGCCAACCCCTTTTGCTCACACAACCTATACCCATACCCGACAAGAATGAAAACCCAAACGCCCAAAAACACCATATTTCATTATTAAACCATCCCTTGTCTTCCCTTCCCCTTCCCTTCCTTTCCCTAACCCCCTCAAAAACTCTATCCCACCAACACTGAACAGGTTTTTTTTTTAAAAAAAAAGGCAAAAAAACGAAAAGAAAACATCAAAAAATACATCAACGATGTAAATCTTCTTGAAGAAAAAAAGTCATGACATCAGAATTGCAGCCCCACTTTGCGGATGCGCCCATAGGGTAAGCAGAAAGAACGGGCACGGAAAGGGGTGGATGTGGGGAAGGGGTTGAGAAAGAAGAATTGAATGCCAATATCCCGATCAGAGAAAAAAGAAAAAAAAAGGCCATCCCGAAAATCGATTGAACAAGGAGGAATCCGTCATCATAATAAAGAACGAAAGCGTGATTGCAGAAATCGAGAAGAAATAAACCCCTTTAAAAAGAATTAAAATCAACCCAAATATCATCGAATAGTAGCATACGAATGATATTTACTCTCCCTTCCACTCTCATCCTTCAAACCCTTCTTATTAAAAATTTTCCAAAACCTCAACGTCTCATCCCCCGCCCCCGTCACAACTGTCTGCCCATCAGGGCTCATGGCTAAATACAGCACTCGAAACGTGTGCCCCGTTAACGACACAACCTGCTCCATACGCGGATACTTCCACACAACAATCTGATTCTGGCTGTACCCATGCGTACTGACGATCTCATCCGAGTTCTTCGACCAGGCCAGATTACACACCTGACTGCCCGTGTCGATCTCCTTAACCTGGTGGCCGGTGAGGGTATTCCAGAACTTAATGGTGCGGTCTGCCGTTCCGCCTCCAGAGGCAAGGAGGGAATGTTGATGCGGGGACCAGGCGATGGCTTTGACGGCTGCAATGTGGTCGGAGAAGCGGAAGAGGGGGGTTTCGTTCAGTTTGTCCCAGACGATTAACTTGTTGTCGTTGCCACCTGAGGCTAGTTGGCCGTCTTCTGTGTTCCATTTGAGGCCGCAGATTTCTTGTTTGTGGCCTGTTAGACGGCGGAGGAATTGATCTGGAGATCTAACATCGCGGTGGAAGATGGTTCGATCTCTCGAGCCGGACGTGAGGATGTGGTCGTTCCAGGCTAGAGCGCCAACACGGAGTGTATGACCTGTCATTGTTCGTAGACGTCGACAGTGTTCTGCGTCCCAAATTTGTACTAATCCTTTTCCAGTTCCTATTGCAAGATGGGTCCCCTAAAAATACTTCTTGTCAGAATTTTAACTTTGGTAGAGACAGGAAAGTGAAACGGTTCATTATTACCCTTTGAATCCAGCTAACACTAGTTACAGTGTCATCCTGCAACTGACATAGCTTCGTAACATGGCCATTCATAGAATCCCACATATAAACGGCGGACGCCAATCCCACCCCCAGTATATTACTACTACCCCAATCAACTAGATTAAGATAGAAATCATCCGCTAGATCTGGTGCATCTAGAACCTTAAAAGGAACTTTGTTCACATATCTGGGTTGCTTGCGCATGCTTTGCAGAATCCGTTGACTATCAAATCGAATGGGAGATAAACTATAGAGCTCAGAGCGGACATTTAGGTTAGGGCCGTGGCCGCTGCGAGGTGTTCGGGAAGGTGTAGGGTTTCCGGAGACATGTCGTGGAGATGTATAAGAGAAGAGGTTTTTGCTGGGGGTTGAGGGACTTATGCTTGCCGGAGGTAAAGAGGATGCGGCTTTGTATGAGGGCGGTGTATGTGAGCGAGTCGGGTCGTGGATTTTAGTAGAATACCCTACAATCGGGTCTGGTGATAGAGAGTGTAGATCGGGTTGGGGGACGGTATCTCCAAATACTTCACTGCGGAGCACTCTGGAGTATGTGCGGTTGGCTTCCTCAGCTAAAATCAGAGAGGTTAGCGTCATTATGTTTTCAAATTGTCAAAGCCCCATCAGAACTCTGCGCCTACTCTTTTGAAAATGAATTTCCCCATGAGGCGTTCTCTTCTTTGGCTTTGATGGGGTAGCAGGACAACCGTCTTCATGCAGTAAGCTGTAACTGGCCTGCAAATCCTGTCCTTCGCGATTTGGGATGAACCTAGAGATTGAGAGTACAGTTAGCCTACCTCCCAAAAGCCAAACTTGAAATTCAACCATCATATATACAAATATATTGTATAGAAGTCAAAGTATTATCCCATCTCCATCCTTAAACACAAGCCAAGCCTCCTTTTCCCTCTCCACCAAAGGAAAATAAAATAAATAAAAGAAAGAAAGAATAAAAGTAAGTAAAAATATCAACAGCAGCATACCTATCTCCATAAACCCGTTGCCGCTTGCGACTCGGGCTTGTACCTGGCGTCCTCTCCCCGATGACGACCCACCTCCTCAAAATCCTTGAGCGCACGCGCAAGAGCATCTGGATTCACGGGTTCCGAGCCCAGTCTATGTCTATGTTTCGCAGAGTCATGAGCGGGATTGAAAATGCCATTTCGAGGTCTGGTGACAGGCGGGCTATGGGACTTGGATCCTGGCGGAGATGCAAGTTTGGCAATCGCAGAGGGGTCATTTATACATGTCAAGTGTGTAGATATCGTGCGTGCTTTCTCTCCCGCTGTTTCCGCCATTGTGGAGCGGTATCAAAGGTGTTATCTTGGTTTGGGGAGTTGGCGCGTCGGAATTCTCTGATCGGAGTTTTCTTTTCTTTTTTTTTTTCGCTCAGTGGGAGGTTGGAGAGATTTTAATTTAAATGTTGGTAGAATTAGGTGAGATAGGGCTCTCTTCTATTGAAATTTAAGGCCGATTCTAGGATAATATGAAGGCAGTAACACC